CGTCTCCCTCTCCCCTCTCCTCTCCTCTCCCTCTCCTCTCCCCTCTCCCTCCCCCCTCTCCTCCTCTCCTCTCCTCTCCCTCTCCCTCCCTCTCCCTCTCCTCTCTCTCCTCTCCCCCTCTCCTCTCCACTCTCCTCTCCACCTCCTCACCTCTCCCCCTCCTCACCTCTCCCCCTCCTCTCCTCTCCTCTCCCTCTCCTCTCCTCTCCCTCTCCTCTCCCTCTCCCTTCCCCCTCCTCACCTCTCCCCCTCTCCTCCCTCCTCCCTCTCCTCTCCTTTCCTCCCCTCTCTCCAATTCCTCTCCCCCACCTCCTCCTCACCTCTCCCCCTCCTCTCCCTCTCCTCTCCTCTCCCCTCCCCTCCTCTCCCTCTCCCTCCCCCCCTCCTCATCTCTCCCCCTCCTCTCCTCTCCCTCTCCTCTCCTTCCTCTCCCTCTCCTCTCCTCTCTCCCCTCCTCACCTCTCCCCCCTCCTCTCCTCTCCCTCTCCTCTCCCTCTCCCTCTCCTCTCCCTCTCCCTCTCCCCTCTCTCACCTCTCCCCCTCCTCTCCTCTCCCTCTCCTCTCCTCTCCCTCTCCCTCTCCCCCTCCTCACCTCTCCCCCTCCTCTCCTCTCCCTCTCCTTTCCTCTCCCTCCTGTATATATAATGAACAAAAGATTAAATATTTGAAGACAACAAACCCCCCCCCCCCCAGTGAGCAGCCCCCAACATCAAAAAGAAGGGGTGGCAGAAAGGAATGAAACCCGTTCTGTGCGTTAATTCAGATATGAAAAACACATTTGAAAAACAATTCAAATTTGAAAACAATAATAGAATAAAACAGAACAGAAAATAAAGAAATACAAATGAATAGAACAGAATAGAATAGAAAAGAAGAGAAAAGAAATGAACAGAACAGAGTACAGTAGAAAATAGTAGCGTAAAACAGAGCAAAATTAAATAGAAAAAAAAGGAATAGAAAAGAATAGAATCCATTTGAATATAATAGAAAATATTAGAATAGAAATTCAAAGAATAGAAAAGAAAAGAATCAATTACAATAGAATAGAAAATATTAGAATAAAAAATCAAAGAATAGAAGAGAATAGAAAAGACTAGAATGAAAAATCAAAGAATAGAATATAAAAAAAGAAAATAATAATTTAGAATAGAATAGAAAAGATTCAAATAGAAAATCAAAGAATAGAACAGAAAAGAAAAGAATCATTTAGAATAGAATAGAAAAGATTAGAAAAGAAAATCAAAGAATAGAATAGAATCGTTTAGAATAGAATAGAAAAGATTCAAATTTAAAATCAAAGAATAGAATAGAAAAGATTCAAATTTAAAATCAAAGAATAGAATAGAAAAGAAAAGAATAATTTAGAATAGAGTAGAAAATATTAAAATAGAAAATGAAAGAATAGAATAGAAAATAATATAGTAAAACAGAGCAAAATAGAACAGAAAATAAAGGAATAGAATAGAATCAGTTAGAATAGAATAGAAAAGATTAAAATACAAAATCAAAGAATAGAATAGTAAAGACTAGAATATAGAATCAAAGAATAGAATAGTATAGAAAAACAATAGAATAGAAGAGCCTTACAACCACAGCCCAGGGTTGTGGGGAAGAGGCCCTTGGGAGGGCATGTGATCTGGTCTGGTTTTGGGGGGGAGGGGGGTCACTTACGTGGGGTGCAGCCTTTGTTCCATTACAGAGTTACTGATCTCCTGCGCTCTATTTGCAGCCACTTCCTGTCTCTATGCTCTCCAGTAATGGCTGCGTGGCATTTCAAGGGTGGTCCTGATGGTGACAACAGTGGGCGATGTCTGTGTAATGTGTGTTAAAATAGCCATTTGTAGTCTCCGTTGGAATCACGTGACAGGATGACAACGCAGGAGCACAATGGGGACACAGGGACAGAGCGTTGTCACCCTATAACAGGAAGTGACCTCCATGGAAGAATCTGGTGGAGGCTCATGTGACAGGGTGACAAATGCAGGAGCACAATGAATAGACAGGGACAGAGCATTGTCACCCTATAACAGGAAGTGACTTTCATTTCATGGTCACCAGGGTGACAACGCAGGAGCACAATTGGGAGACAGGGACAGAGCGTTGTCACCCTATAACCGGAAGTGACCTTCATTTCAGGATCACCAGGGTGACAACGCAGGAGCACAATTGGGAGACAGGGACAGAGCGTTGTCACCCTATAACAGGAAGTGACCTCAATGGAAGAATCTGGTGGAGGGCCAAGTGACAGGGTGACAATGCAGGATCACAATGAATAGACAGGGACAGAGTGTTGTCACCCTATAACAGGAAGTGACCTTCATTTCAGGAGCACCAGGGTGACAACGCAGGAGCACAATTGGGAGACAGGGACAGAGCGTTGTCACCCTATAACAGGAAGTGACCTTCATTGAAGGATCACCAGGGTGACAACGCAAGAGCAGAATGAATAGACAGGGACAGAGCGTTGTCACCCTATAACCGGAAGTGACCTTCATTTCAGGATCACCAGGGTGACAACGCAGGAGCACAATTGGGAGACAGGGACAGAGCGTTGTCACCCTATAATAGGAAGTGACCTTCATTTCAGGATCACCAGGGTGACAACGCAGGAGCACAATTGGGAGACAGGGACAGAGCGTTGTCACCCTATAATAGGAAGTGACCTTCATTTCAGGATCACCAGGGTGACAACGCAGGAGCACAATTGGGAGACGGGGACAGAGCGCTGTCACCCTATAACAGGAAGTGACCTCCATGGAAGAATCTGGTGGAGGGCCATATGACAGGGTGACAACGCAGGAGCACAATGGGGAGATAGGAACAGAGCGTTGTCACCCTATAACAGGAAGTGACCTTCATTTCAGGATCACCAGGGTGACAACGCAGAAGCACACTGGGGAGACAGGGACAGAGCGTTGCCACCCATGTGACCGCTGTGACAGCCAATCAAGCGATCGGAGAGCCCGCCTGGGTCCCCGGGCATTTAGGTCCCCTTAAAGGGCCGGGTAACAAGGAGTTAATACAAAGTGCAGATTTACACATGACCAGGTTACAGATTAGCAGAGATTTTCCCGGTTGGGTTTTCATCGACTTTAATCATCGATCTTACGTAATATCTCCGAGCGGTTACAACCTCCTCCTAATTCTCCGTGACGTTTGGATGCTCCTCGTATTTAATCCGTCTCCATTTCCTGGAGATAGGCGGCCCACAGATTAGAGCGCCCCCTCCTCCCCACCCACCCCCCCCCCCCCCCCCCAGCGGGATTTTTTTTTTTTATCTATTTAATAAAGAGAAGGGTCTTTTACCGCCCCCCCTTCCCCTCGTCCCGCTCACATCTGGAATCGTTCTCTCCCCTTTTATTGGGAAATGAGTTCCATGGCCGGTGTGTCTGTTTGAATGTCAGAATTATCTCGTCTCCTTCAATCTGGCGGTTAGAGGGGCCGAGTTAAAGGATTACATTGTAAATGTCGGAGGATCCGGGATTTCATCGCAATCAGCCCAGCTGAAGGCGGAGGAGAACTGGCGTCTCGGGAGGATTATGGAGGACCGTTGCCTTTAGTTTTGCGCCGTTGAAGAACGTGATGACGTTTCGTGGATTTCTGGTCTGGAAGGGCGGCTCGTTGAGTGGTTGGAAGGGTCCAGGTGGACCCGATCAGCCATGGATGTTAGATTGACGGGTATGGAGGGCTGGAGAGGAACGGGTAAGGAAAGGGTTGGAAGGGTTCAGGTGGACCCGATCAGCCATGGATGTTAGATTGACGGGTATGGAGGGCTGGAGAGGAACGGGTAAGGAAAGGGTTGGAAGGGTTCAGGTGGACCCGATCAGCCATGGATGTTAGATTGACGGGTATGGAGGGCTGGAGAGGAACGGGCAAGGCCAAGGGTTGGAAGGGTTCAGGTGGACCCGATCAGCCATGGATGTTAGATTGACGGGTATGGAGGGCTGGAGAGGAACGGGCAAGGCCAAGGGTTGGAAGGGTTCAGGTGGACCCGATCAGCCATGGATGTTAGATTGACGGGTATGGAGGGCTGGAGAGGAACGGGTAAGGAAAGGGTTGGAAGGGTCCAGGTGGACCCGATCAGCCATGGATGTTAGATTGGTGGGTATGGAGGGCTGGAGAGGAACGGGTAAGGAAAGGGTTGGAAGGGTCCAGGTGGACTCGGTCAGTCATGGATGTTAGATTGGTGGGTATGGAGGGCTGGAGAGGAACGGGTAAGGAAAGGGTTGGAAGGGTCCAGGTGGACCCGATCAGCCATGGATGTTAGATTGGCGGGTATGGAGGGCTGGAGAAGAACGGGTAAGGAAAGGGTTGGAAGGGTCCAGGTGGACTCAGTCAGTCGTGGATGTTAGATTGGTGGGTATGGAGGGCCGGAGTGGAACGGGCAAGGCCAAGGGTTGGAAGGGTTCAGGTGGACCCGATCAGCCATGGATGTTAGATTGGCGGGTATGGAGGGCTGGAGAGGAACGGGTAAGGAAAGGGTTGGAAGGGTCCAGGTGGACCCGATCAGCCATGGATGTTAGATTGGTGGGTATGGAGGGCTGGAGAGGAACGGGTAAGGAAAGGGTTGGAAGGGTCCAGGTGGACTCGGTCAGTCGTGGATGTTAGATTGGCGGGTATGGAGGGCTGGAGAGGAACGGGTAAGGAAAGGGTTGGAAGGGTCCAGGTGGACCCGATCAGCCATGGATGTTAGATTGGTGGGTATGGAGGGCTGGAGAGGAACGGGTAAGGAAAGGGTTGGAAGGGTCCAGGTGGACTCGGTCAGTCGTGGATGTTAGATTGGCGGGTATGGAGGGCTGGAGTGGAACGGGCAAAGCTAAGGTGGCTTTGTATTCTTTAACCTGGAAATAAACCAGATTTCAGTCCTTCAAGTCTCAGAACTAGAACATGAGATCGGTGGACTTCGGGGGGTGGGATACTTCCTAGTAGGGTAATGGGCATACACTATACTGCCAAAGTATAGTCCCCATCCTCCCAATCATTTGATTCAGGTGTTCCAATCCCCTCCATATCATGTGATTCAGGTGTTCCAATCCCCTCCATATCATGTGATTCAGATGTTCCAATCCCCTCCATATCATGTGATTCAGATGTTCCAATCCCCTCCATATCATGTGATTCAGGTGTTCCAATCCCCTCCATATCATTTGATTCAGGTGTTCCAATCCCCTCCATGGACACAGGTGTATACATTCAAGCCCCTAGGCTTACCCCCTACTGATGGGTAACTGAAGCCTACCTTCAGAGGTCTGGTGGATTTCAGTCTACCTTCAGGGGTCTGGTGGATTTCAGTCTACCTTCAGGGGTCTGGTGGATTTCAGTCTACCTTCAGGGGTCTGGTAGATTTCAGTCTACCTTCAGGGGTCTGGTGGATTTCAGTCTACCTTCAGGGGTCTGGTGGATTTCAGTCTACCTTCAGGGGTCTGGTGGATTTCAGTCTACCTTCAGAGGTCTGGTGGATTTCAGTCTACCTTCAGGGGTCTGCTGGATTTCAGTCTACCTTCAGGGGTCTGGTGGATTTCAGTCTACCTTCAGGGGTCCTGGTGGATTTCAGTCTACCTTCAGAGGTCTGGTGGATTTCAGTCTACCTTCAGAGGTCTGGTGGATTTCAGTCTACCTTCAGAGGTCTGGTGGATTTCAGTCTACCTTCAGGGGTCTGGTGGATTTCAGTCTACCTTCAGGGGTCTGGTGTATTTCAGTCTACCCTCAGGGGTCTGGTGGATTTCAGTCTACCTTCAGGGGTCTGGTGGATTTCAGTCTACCTTCAGGGGTCTGGTGGATTTCAGTCTACCTTCAGAGGTCTGGTGGATTTCAGTCTACCTTCAGGGGTCTGGTGGATTTCAGTCTACCTTCAGAGGTCTGGTGGATTTCAGTCTACCTTCAGAGGTCTGGTGGATTTCAGTCTACCTTCAGGGGTCTGGTGGATTTCAGCCTACCTTCAGGGGTCTGGTGGATTTCAGTCTACCTTCAGAGGTCTGGTGGATTTCAGTCTACCTTCAGAGGTCTGGTGGATTTCAGTCTACCTTCAGAGGTCTGGTGGATTTCAGTCTACCTTCAGAGGTCTGGTGGATTTCAGTCTACCTTCAGAGGTCTGGTGGATTTCAGTCTACCTTCAGGGGTCTGGTGGATTTCAGTCTACCTTCAGGGGTCTGGTGTATTTCAGTCTACCCTCAGGGGTCTGGTGGATTTCAGTCTACCTTCAGGGGTCTGGTGGATTTCAGTCTACCTTCAGGGGTCTGGTGGATTTCAGTCTTCCTTCAGAGGTCTGGTGGATTTCAGTCTACCTTCAGGGGTCTGGTGGATTTCAGTCTACCTTCAGAGGTCTGGTGGATTTCAGTCTACCTTCAGGGGTCTGGTGGATTTCAGTCTACCTTCAGGGGTCTGGTGGATTTCAGCCTACCTTCAGGGGTCTGGTGGATTTCAGTCTACCTTCAGAGGTCTGGTGGATTTCAGTCTACCTTCAGAGGTCTGGTGGATTTCAGTCTACCTTCAGGGTCTGGTGGATTTCAGCCTACCTTCAGGGGTCTGGTGGATTTCAGTCTACCTTCAGGGGTCTGGTGGATTTCAGTCTACCTTCAGAGGTCTGGTGGATATCAGTCTACCTTCATGGGTCTGGTGGATTTCAGTCTACCTTCAGGGGTCTGGTGGATTTCAGTCTACCTTCAGGGGTCTGGTGGATTTCAGTCTACCTTCAGGGGTCTGGAGGATTTCAGTCTACCTTCAGGGGTCTGGTGGATTTCAGTCTACCTTCAGGGGTCTGGTGGATTTCAGTCTACCCTCAGGGGTCTGGTGGATTTCAGTCTACCCTCAGAGGTCTGGTAGATTTCAGTCTACCTTCAGGGGTCTGGTAGATTTCAGTCTACCTTCAGGGGTCTGGTGGATTTCAGTCTACCTTCAGGGGTCTGGTGGATTTCAGTCTACCCTCAGGAGTCTGGTGGATTTCAGTCTACCCTCAGAGGTCTGGTAGATTTCAGTCTACCTTCAGGGGTCTGGTGGATTTCAGTCTACCTTCAGGGGTCTGGTGGATTTCAGTCTACCTTCAGGGGTCTGGAGGATTTCAGTTTACCTTCAGGGGTCTGGTGGATTTCAGTCTACCTTCAGAGGTCTGGTGGATTTCAGTCTACCTTCAGGGGTCTGGTGGACATCGTGATGGGTCAGGATTGTTTTGGTGGCAAAAAGGGGGATCTACTCAATATTGGGTGGGTGTATGTGTATATATTTTAAAATATTACATATAATTGAAGTCATTTTGTGATCCACATCATGGTTCCTCTTTGGCGTAGCGAAGAATCGGGGGGCAGTGGCAGCTGCAGAGGGAATGGATTTCATGGTGGGAGCTCCTACTGTTCTCCTGGTGAGGTCTCTCCTCCGAGTCATCTGTCTTCACGCTCCCTTCGCAGTGTCTCTCTCACATGTGCGCGATCTTTGCGAGTCAGTTAATGAGCCCCGTCTCTCTTTCTTCTCCTCTAATAACCCATAATGCATCTTCCAGACCCTCCTCGTCGTCAGCTGCTGCTGGTAACGAGGGCCTTGTAAAACCCACGGTAATAGTGGTGCCCCTCGCTGGGTCCTGGAAGCTGGGAAGAGTTCTTCCCAACCCCCCTCGCCGGAGAAGGGGGCTAAATTCCGCAGGCTCTTGTTTTTATAGGCGACGTCCTAAGCAGGCCCGTGTCAACCCATGAATGGACGCACAGCCGAGGAGGAAGACGCGGTCGGAAGCGCAAAAGAGAGACTTCCTGCGGAGTTGAAAGCGCAACGAGGCCACTTAAATACGACCATAAAATTAGATTCCCGTAAAAGCCATAAAATCGAAAGTCGGCGAACGCCGCGGATGTCGTTGGGTCCAGGTAATCTTACGTAGAGGGCGGCGGATCCGCGGATTACGCTCGGCAATTTTATTTAATATGACTGAGGTCGGCTGCACAAAACCAGATGAGCGGTTTGAAATGAAAAAAAAGTTGGATGTCTCGAGTATAATTCCATATGGATAATCACGGCGCTGATGGCTCCCATTATGGCCCCCGCCATATGTGAACCCCAACTCACCCTTGAAATTCCCTGCACATGTGGAGTCGTAGGAAGGAGAATTGGCACCTGTAAATCTGAGGCCGCTCTATGCTCTCTCCTCCAGGAACGGACGGGATCGGAAGAGGATCCAAGCTGGATCTGTTCACAAGAAACGAAGGGTGGAAGACCCGAGCTTCGTCAGGTGGGACCATGATGATGGAAAGTGATGTCTACATCCACCAGAGGCTCCCAACTTCTCCTTCAGTCTTGTACGGTTGTACAGTTGTACCTGATTTCACCGCACACTGTGAGCTTCTCTTCGTGTGCATTAGAAGTTGCAGCAGATCCAGTAAAGGCCCCAAAATGGGCTCTTCAAGGCTCTGTACCTTCTTGTTGAGTAGTCATCAGCTGTTCCCCACCTTGACGTGACCTCTCGTGCTTCGTGGATAGGTGTTATTGACCCATTTCCTGTTCCCACCTCACTCTTCTAGATTCCCCTTCAGCTTCTGCTCTGATTCCAGCTCCTGACCCCGGGCCTGAACTCTGGAACTCACTCCTGCCCACCATATTGGTATCTCCCCCTCTGGGGCAAAGGGGTGGGCAGGAGGGGCGGCTGCCCTGGACACTGTGGTTTCTCCTCTGAACCCTGGAAAATATATAACCGGCGTAGGAAACCTTCCCATTCAATAGCGTGCAGCAGCCCTGAAGAAGGGAGAGTCCTTTCTCCCGAAACGCGTTGGTTTGATGTACTCGCCGATATTCTCAATAAATGCCTCCTAATCTACCATGGGACATCGGGCGTGCCTTCCTTCCTATCATTCCAAGTCTTGTGCTAGGAGGGGGAATTTTTTTTTTGGATGGGGGGGGGGGTTGTGCTAGAAAAGGTAATTTGTTAGGAAGGAGGGGATTTGTACTAGGAGGGGGAATTATGTTTGGGGGGTGGGATTTGCAGTACTGGGGGTGACTGGGGAGGGGGTTGTGCTAGGAGGAGACATTTGGGGGAGGGATTTGTGCTAGGATGGGGATTGGGGAGAATTTGTGCTGGGAAGAGTGGATTGGGGGGAGAGGATTTGTACTGGGAGGGGGGAGTTTTATTTAGGGCTGGGATTTGCACTAGCAGGGATGATTGGGGTGTTTTTTTGTGCTAGGAGGGGACATTGGGGGGGGGGGGGGTTGTGCTAGGATGGGGGATTGGGGAAAATTTGTGCTAAGAGGGGTGGGTTGGGGTAGAGGATTGATTTGTACTTGGAAGGGGGATTTTTTTTTGTGGGGGTGGGGTTTGCACTAGCAGGGATGATTGGGGAGTTTTTGTGTTAGGAGGGGACATTTGGGGGGGGGGATTTGTGCTAGGATGGGGGATTGGGGACAATTTGTGCTGCAAGGGGTGGGCTGGGGTAAAGGATCTGTACTGGGAGGGGGGAATTTTATTTTGGGGGTGGGATTTGCACTAGCAGGGATGATTGGGGAGTTTTTGTGTTAGGAGGGGACATTTGGGGGGGGGGGAGATTTGTGCTAGGATGGGGGATTGGGGAAAATTTGTGCTGAGAGGGGTGGGTTGGGGTAGAGGATTGATTTGTACTGGGAGGGGGGATTTTTTTTGGGGGGGTGGGATTTGCACTAGCAGGGATGATTGGGGAGTTTTTGTGCTAGGAGGGGACATTTGGGGGGGGGGGGGAGATTTGTGCTAGGATGGGGGATTGGGGACAATTTGTGTTGAGAGAGGGGTGGGTTGGTCTAGAGGATTGATTTGTACTTGGAGGGGGGATTTTTTTGTGGGGGTGGGGTTTGCACTAGCAGGGATGATTGGGGAGTTTTTGTGTTAGGAGGGGACATTTGGGGGGGGGGATTTGTGCTAGGATGGGGGATTGGGGACAATTTGTGCTGCGAGGGGTGGGCTGGGGTAGAGGATCTGTACTGGGATGGGGGAATTTTTCTTTGTGGGGTGGGATCTGTGCTAGCAGGGATAATTGGGGGGTTTTGTGCTAGGAGGGGAAATTTGAGGGGGAGAGGATTTCTACTAGGAGGGGGGAATTTTTTTCGGGGGGTGGGATTTGGGCTAGCGAGGATGATTGGGGGTTTTCTGTACTTGGAGGAGACACTTGGGGGGGGGGGGTTGTGCTAGGATGGGGGATTGGGGAGAATTTGTGCTGGGGGGCAGATTGGGGCAGAGGATTTGTGCTAGGAGGGGGGATTTGTTTTTGGGGGTGGGATTTGTGCTAGCAGGGATGATGGGGGGGGGGGGGGGTTGTGCTAGGAGGAGAAATTAGAGGGGGGGGTGAATTTGTGCTGGGAAGGGCGGATTGGGGGGGGGGGGAGAGGATTTGTACTAGGAGGGGGAATTTTCTTTGGGGGGTGGAATTTGTGATAGTAGGGATATTTATGGGGTTTCGAGCTAGGAGGAGACATTGGGGGGGGGGGGGGGGTTGTTGGTGCTATGATGGGCGATTGGGCAGATTGAGGGGAGAGGATTTTTACTGGGCAGGGGGAATTTTTTTCAAGGGGATGGGATTTACACTAGCATCAACCTCCGCCACGTCTCCGGCTCTGCCGGGATGA